CACTAAGTTCCTTGAGCATCCTTATAACCAGTGTTTTGAACTCTGAATCTAGTAGATTTCTTGCCTCCATTTAACTTAGTTCTTCTTAGAGCTTTGTGGGTTTGGGGGGTTTTGTTTTGTTTTATTTTATCTCATTTTGGCAGCCTCCCTGTGCTTGTATCTATGTATTTGCTACATCTCCCAGGCTTGGCAGTGTGGCCTAAAATAATAGGTGTCTGTAGATTCCAGTGAACTACCTCCCTTATTACCCAAGTTGGGTACTCAAAGTATGCCCAGCACATAGGCTTTTTATACTGTCTTGTAGTTGAGCTTTGATTGCTGTTGGCATGCTCAAGGTCAGCCACTGACTGTGTTCTGTCCAGGTTCACACAAATAAGCTACAAGGTGATCTGCAAATGGCTGCTACTTATTCTGGGCTTAAAGGTGCCCAGGCAAGGCCATGCTGTGAACCAAGGCTGCTAGTGATCATCCTAGGGCAACTTTACAAGAGGTATGGAGCTTGCTGAAGCCAGATGCAGCTTGTTTGAGAGAATTAAAAAAATTTTGAAGTACAGGCCAAGACAAGCCATTCCTATTGTAAAGCCACTGAAAACAGCTTGGGTGGGCCCTAAAGTGAGTGAGAAAGGGCCTCATGGAATCACAAGGGTAGGGCAAACCATGTGAGCCCAGTTTGATGGAGTCTCAGATAGGATACCTGCCTGCCAACTCTGTGGCTCTGTAGGGGAGAGCTCATAAAAGGAACAATGGTCTCTCCAGCAACCTCTTCCATGATGCCAGACAATTCAGTTCCTCCCCATATGTCTCTGACGTTTTTCAATCTGCTGCCCCCACACTGGAGCTCAGAGGGAGTAAGTCTAAGTCAGTCAGTGCATGGGCCCTTAAATAGGAATTGCCTTGGAATCCAGAAGTTTCTGTTTTCCACAGCCTCAATCCCCACTGATTTTTATAGCCAGAAGTTATAGGGACTTATCTTTCTGGAAGTGAGGCCCTAGGCTGAAGGGCACAGTTTGGGGCTGGAATCCCTCACTCTTCTGATATGTCTCCTGATTTTTGTCTGCCACACGAGGGTGTGGGACCAGCCCATTCTGCATCTCCACCCCTTCTACTGGTCTCAAAGTGATTTCTTCTTTAACTCCATAGTTGCTTTCTTCTTTAATTTCATTGTTGTAGGACTTTCATTCAGCTCAATTTCTGATGGTTCTGAATGATGGTTGTTCTATAGCTTAGCTGTACTTTTGATATGGCTGTGTGAGAAGGTGAGCAGGTTTACTTATGGCACCATCTTGACTGGAAATCAGAAAACTTTTACCATATTAGGTTTTATAAATGTGTAGGTCCTGAAGGACTTTCCCAAGTTAAGATCAAGTAATCAACTCACAAACAAAATTACCAAAATCACTGTTATTAGCATCAGTAAGTGTAAACAAGAAATAACAAATTTACACTCATAAAAACTGTAGATGTTTAATATCTTGCAAGTATTTAATAGCTGCATGAATAATTTAAAAATAAGATATTGTCTATAAAGCTGAGTATTTAGCCAAAACCCATTGGCAACAGAAAGAAATGTTTTAAAAAGTCTTCAAAAAATTTAAAAAAAATTAAATTCTGTGGAAGAGTTAAACATCACTTTGATGTAATAAAAAGAGTGCTCATTAACTGAGAGATATTCCCTCCAAAGTTATTCAGCATATAGCAAAAAAAAAAAAAAGATGTGAGACAATACAGAAGAGAGAAGTGAGAGTCTGAAACAGAATAATAAAAACCAACATAAGTCTACTTGCATCCCACATAGACAACTTGAAGTGGATGGAGGAAAGGCAATATTTAATCTCTCTGAAAGAATGAAAACTATGGATCCACATGCATCATAGTGAGCATGACTTTCCCCAAACAGGGTAATCCAAAAGGAAATAACTTGAACGGCTGAAGAGAAAATACAAGGTCATCTCTTGTATAGTATAAAAGTAAAGATATTTTTACATTTAAATTTTGTTGTATTAAATATAATGGTAAAATTTCAATAGCAATCAATAAGAGATTAAAAGTAAAGTGTTTAAAGTTGAAGGAGAGTACGAAGTTAGAGAAACAAATTAAAAATATTAAATCCAGAAAGGTAAGAGAAAAGAAAAAATAACACAAGAAGTAATAAAAAAGTCCAAACATATCAAGAATCAGAAAAACAAACTATATTCAGAATTTTTTTAATTACTTATACAAAATGGTATAAAACTAGATACCAACTAAACTAAAATTGAAAAACATTCAAACACATTGATATTAAACAATAAGTGGGCTAACAATGATTTCAAGGAAGAAATAAAAAGTTACCTGGAAACAAATGAAAATGAACACACAATACTGCAAAATTTATGGGATGCAGCAAAAGCAACTCTGAAAGGAAAGTTCATAGCATTACAGGCCTACATCAAGGAACAACAAAAATCTCAAATAAGTAATCTAAACCTACAACTAACAGAACTAGAAAAACTATAAATAAAGTGCAGAATAAGTAGAATAAAGGAAATAATAAAGATCAGAGAGGAAATAAATGACACAGAGACTAAAAAAGATACAAAAGATCAATGAAACAAAGAGCTGCTTCTTTGAAAAGAAGAAATAGATTAACAAAGCTTTCATTAGACTCAGTAACCAAATATATAAAAACAGAAATGAAAGAGAAGTAACAACTGACATAAAAGAAATACAAAGGAGTTTAACAAAATATTACAGAAAACTATATGCCAATAAATTGAACAATATAGGTGAACTGAATAAGTTCCTAGAAACATACAATTTTTCAAAACTGAATCAAGAAGAGTCAGAAAACCTGAATACACTGATTACAATTAATGAAATGGAAGCAGAAATCAAAACACTCCCAGCAAACAAAAGTCCTGTATCAGATGACTTCACAGGCAAATTTTACCAAACATTTAAAGAACTAACATATATGAAACTATTCCAAAAAATTCATAAGGAGGGAAGACTCCCAAGCTCTTTTTATGAGGCCAGCATTATCCTAAATGTAAAACAAGATACATGACCTCAAAAAACAAAATTATAGGCCAATATCACTGATGAACATAGATGCTAAAATCCTCAAAAAAAGATAAGCAAACAGAATCCACCAATGCACTAAAAGATCATATACCATGACCAAGTGAGATTTATTACAGGGATGCAAAGTTGGTATAATATTGGCCAATCAATAAACATGATACATCACATAAGCAAAATGAAAGATAAAAATCACATCCTCATATCAACTAATGCAGAAAAGGCATTTGATAAAATGCAGTAATGATTTACAATAAAATCTCTCAGCAAAGTGAGAATGATCACATCTCAACACAATAAAGGCCATATATAGCAAACCCACAGCCAATATCATACTCAATGGGCAAAAACTAAAAGCATTTCCCTTAAGGTCATGAACAAGACAGAGATGCCCACTCTTTCCAATCTTATTTAACATAGTACTGAGAGTCCTAGCCACAGCAATCAGGCAAGAAGAAAAAAATTAAAAAACATCCAAATTGGAGAGAAGAAGTAAAATTGTCATTATTCTCAGATGACAAGCTATAGTGCACAGAAAATTCTAAACACTCTACAAAGATTTAGCTCTAATAATAAATTTGGCAAAGTCCTAGGATATAAAAATAATATTTAGAAATTGGTGGCATTTTTATACACCAATAATGAACTATCAGAAAGAAAAGTTAAGAAAACAATCCCATTCACTAATGCAACAACAACAACAAATAAGGTACCAATGAATAAATGTAACCAAGGAGGTAAAACACTTGAATTTGGACAACTATAGGACATTGAAGAAATAAATCAAGGAAGATAAAATAAGAGGTAGCATATATTGTGTTCATTAATTAAAAGATCTAACATCATTAAAAAGGCTGTATTACCCAAAGCAAACCATACTATAAGGCCGTTGTAATCAAAACAGCCTGGTACTGGCATAAGAAAAGGTAAAAGATCAATGACACAGAACAAATAGCCCATGAATCAATCCACACCTTCATGGTCAATTGACATTTTATAAAGGAGACAATGTCATACAATGAACTAAAGACCGTCTCTTCAATAAATGGTATTGGGAAAATTGGACAAATACATACAAATAAGTGAAACTACATTACCAATGTATACCATACATAAGAATAAATGCAAAATGGATAAAAGACTTGAATATGAGTTGCAAAATAAAAAATAGAGTAAACATAGGCAATAAAATCTCAGACATTCCATAGCATAGTATTGCTATGCTCAGACATAGCAATATTTTTGCTAATAGATCTCCTAGGGCAAGGGAAACAAAGGAAAAAACAAACAAATGACACTACATCAAATTAAAAAGCTTTTGTATAGTAAAAGAAACCATAAACAAAATGAAAAGGGAACCCACATCGTAGGATGATGTGGACATGGGCCTGCAATGCCCGTGTCATAATGGATAAAATGAGACATTCACACAGACTACCGGGTCCAGTGGAAGAAAAGGGACAGCATGGCTTTTTCTCTCAAGGGGAGCAAAAGCCACAGCCCTCACCATGACAGGCCTTTATTGGGATTCTCGGCACATTACATTACGGTCCTCATTTACTATGCACTGGTTGCTTTAGGCGGTTACCTTTTACAGAAAACAAAGGAGCCAATGCCACTAATCGCATCACAGAAGAGGGATATTTGCAAATGAAAAGGGCAAAAGTGGCCCTGGCTGGTGTAGCTCAGTGGACTGAGCTCAGGCCTGGGAACCAAACAACCACTGTTTGATTCCCAGTCAGGGCACATGCCTGGGTTGCAGGCCAGTTCCCAGCAGGAGACCCACAAGAGGCAACCATACATTGATATTTCTCTCCCTCTCTCCTTCCCTTCCCCTCTAAAGATAAATAAATAAAATCTTTTTAAAAAAGGGCAAAAGTGTGTGGTTGAACCAGTTACACTCATCCTTGGAAGGTTTAGCATGGATTTTAGAAAGTTACCTTGCAGTAAATGTTTGCCACTCACTGGGGTCTGGGCCCACGCCATGCAGAATGGTATCCTGCAATGGGAGAACATATTAGCCAATGCTACATCTATTAAGGGATTAGTTCTCAAACTATATAAAGACCTCATACAACTCAACACCAGGGAGACAAACAATCTAATTTAAAAAATGGGCAAAGGATCTGAATAGACACTTCTCTAAAGAGGACAAATGGATGACCAATAGACATATTTTTTAAAAAGCTCAATGTCACTAATCATCAGAGAGATTCCCATTACAACCACAATGAGATATCACTTCCCACCTGCCAAAATGGCTCGTATCAATAAATCAACAAGCAAGTGTTGGGTGAGAATGTGCAGAAAAGGGAACCCTTCTATACTGTTGATGCAGATGTGTACTGTTGCAGCTGCTGTGAAAGACGGTATGGAGTTACCTCAGAAACTTAAAAATGGAACTTCTTTTTGACCCAGCAATTCCTCTTCTGGGAATATATCTGAAGATACTCAAAACACTAATTCTAAGGAACATAATGCCCTCATATCTTCATTAGAGCATTATTTAAAATAGTCAAATCTTTAAACCACCCAACTACCCATCAGTAGAGGAGTAAATAAAAAACTGTGGCACATTTACACAATGGAATACTACATGATCATAAAAAAATTTAAAAACTACCCTAGCTGGTATAGCTCAGTGCATTGAGCATAGGCCAAACCAAAGGGTCACCAGTTCGATTTCCAGTCAGGGCATGTACCTGGCTTGTGGGCCAGGTCACCAGTATGGGGTGTGTGAGAGGCAACCACACATTGATATTTATCTCCCTCTCTTTCTCCCTCCTTTCCCTTGCTTCTTAAAACAAGTAAATAAAATATTTTTTTAAAAACTTTACCTTTGCAACAGCATGGTTAGACCTGGAGATTATTATGCTGAGTGAAAAAAAGCCTGTTGGAGAAAGACAAGTATCATTTGATCTCACTTATATGTGGAATCTAATGAACAAAATAAAATGACAAACAAAATAGAAACAGAGGCATGTATACATGGAACAGGCTAACAGCTGTCAGGGTATAGGGGGTAGCAGGGAGTGAATGAAAGAGGGTGAAGGTTTTAGCCCAAAATCATAAACACAGACAACAGTGTGGTGATAACCAAAGGCACAAGTGGGTGGAGGCTAGGTGGAGGTGGGCAAAGGGGGTGGAAAATGGGGACCAAAAGAGACTTTGCTTGGGGCAATGGGTACACAATGAAGTGTACAAAATATTTTATTGAGTTATTACACTTGAAACCTGTGTGTTTTTCTGAACCAATGGTTACAGCAAGTAGTTAACTAATTATTAATAAGAAGGGGAGCAATGTGAATTATTCATTGAGATTAATAGACTGAGGAGCATAATCCTGTTTGTTTAACCAGGAAGTTACAGAGTCACACCCATCCCAAGGAACTACTGGTCTGTTCCCTGCAGGTCACTGGGGAAGGGACTAAGAAAGCAAAGGTAAGCACATGCACAATATAAGTCAAAATGGCTCAGGGGGTGGTGCTTGACCATGGAAGCCTGTCAATCTAACCTGAGAAAGTTATCATTGGCTAGGGGATAGACCCATAAGAAGCCCGCAAAATCTTGGAAAGTAGATTGGTTATTTTGGAAAAAGTTCCTGATTATAACCCAGGGAAACAAAGAAGTTTTCCTTTCTTTCACTCAGTGACCCACACTTGCCCCATTTATTTGCACATTCTTTCTCTTGCCCAGGAACACATACAACCATGTGGGTCTAGCTGCCATGTAGGCCCACAGCAGACTGTGTGGGCTCCAAAAGTTTAAACTTTAATAGGAAACAGAAATTCTGGACCGTGGCCTTTGTTCTGGCCTTGCTGTAGACAAGTTTGGGCTTTTTCCATGGCAGGACAGAGTAAGATGGGAAATTGGAAATCCAGGGGCAGATTTCTACCCGAATAAATCTTGCCACAGCACAATCTCCTGTACTTGGGTACATGAAATGTTTTTCTCATGATCCCATAGAACATTATATTGTGCAAAAAAATTCAAAAAATAAAAAAAATCCAAAATCAGTCATACTAGATTTAACAAATATATTCATTTTTCCATACCTAAAGACAATGGCAGCTGTGTGTACTACCCAACCTACCCAAACTTCCTTCCTAAAAAGTAATGAAACAATTACATACCTAAGAAAACACTACATAAAATTGTGCCCTTGTTATTTATAGTAGTCAGTTCAAGCTGCCATAACAAAATACCACAGACTGGGTCATTTAAACTACAAAAAATGAGGTGGAAGATGGCGGCCGAGTATATGGAAGCTGAAACCACTTGCTCATGCCCCCAAGCACATATTTTCAACCAGTCTTCCAATGAGTAACTTGAACAATCAATGGAATCTTAGCTGAAATGAACTTTTGAAGCCAGGCTGTGCAGAAGAGGCTTTGCACCATCCAACAAGAGATTTTACAAGTAGAAGGGGAAATACCATGAGCAACATTCCTGAAGCAAAGGAAAGAGCAGAAGAGAGAAAGTGCAGCTTAGTGACTCCCAGCCCTCCTAGAACAGGGGTTCCCGGTCCTGCACAGGGAACCCCCAATCCTAATCAAGAGAGACTTGGGAGGATTTACAGTCTAGGAGACTCAGGTTGTACTTACAATGCAAGCAGCATATCCAAGGCTGCAGCACCAACTGCAAGAGTCCAAAAGAAAAATTCTAGCTCCTAAGACTGACAGAGGCACCAGAAGGCTGTGGTGAGCCTTGACCAAGAAAGACTTTTTGCCTCTTGGGGAAACGGAGTGCATGGAGACCTGAGCAAAGGCTCAGAGCTGTAATGTGGGTGCCACATAGGGAGTTTTTTTAAGAGGGTAGCAGAGGTATGGCTGAGCAGGGACCCCACACACATGCAGCCACCCTAACAAAGAGGTTGAATTCAAAGTGCAGTTCGTGCCCACTGAACCCAGCTGGCCAGGAAGAGTAGAAGGCTGCACAGTGAAGGCATTGCAGGGCACAACCCAGCGCTGCTGGTGAGCAGGAGTGGGAGCTGTGTGCACAATGGAGGGTTTGGGTCCGAGCCTCCTGTGGGAGCTGTGAGCCATGAACTGGAAGGGCCAGAGCTGAGCACCTGGGATTCCTCACAGCCAGGCAGGGCCACCCAAACCATGGAAAACAAACCCCTGGGAAAGGAAAGGCATGCCCATCCTCTACCCACAGGATCAGAATCTCTGCAAAACAGTAAGGCCAGGCTCAAGATCCCACAGCCAGGTGCATATTGAGGGAAAAGAATAAGAATTTCCAAGGGAGCCCTTTACGAACTTTTATCAGACACTATCCTGGCTCCTTCTCAGACCCTATTCAACTGAAAACAGCAGAGGAGTGAGATTAGAAATTGGTGCAGCAAGAGGTAGTCAGCCCACCCATCCTCAGCTCTCACTCAGAGCTGCCATTGTCGCCAAGCAAGAAAGAGCTGACCCTTTTACAGAGATTGGTCCCACACGTGAAACAGACAGCTAATTCATCAGAAACTTTAGGGCAGCGGAAATAATCTGGGACAGACCATGATGTGCAGTTCAGGGGTGAGGAACACACCCACCATCTTCCCTGAAGGCTGAACAGTGCTGCCCAGGGGGTGATCCATGGATCCCACCTTCCTGATCACATGAGAGGCCCCCTCCAGATGCAGGTGGAGGTGGTACATGCAGTACTGTCAGATGTTAGGTGAACTACTCCTGGTCCTTGTGCTAATAAAACACCAGCAGGGCACAACAGAGTGGAACAGCCAAGGCTGAAGGAGAAAGCCACAGATTGCGGATCACTTGTAGCCTCAAACAAGCTGCCTAAAGCTAGACTGGGACACTAATTGATATAAGGGACAGATCCTAATGAAGACAATAGGCCAACAAACACTAGGCTCTGCCAAGCTGACTTCTACCCTGTTCTTTTCCATCATTTGCACTATTTTCTCTCCTGCTCACTTTTTAACATTGTTTCTTTGTCTTCAATTTTGTTTTTATTATCTAATTACTTTTATTGTATTTTGTATTTTATATTTATTTTTATTATTTTTAATTTTTATTTAAGTTTTAATTCCAATTTCATAAGTTTTACTCTGCCCTTCTCATGTTCCATTTTCCCTTCATCCCTCTCTTTTTTATTTTTGGTTTAAAATTTATTTTTTCCCTTTCTACACTTTGTTTCTATTCCCCATTTTTACTATTACTTCTCCCTCCATCCTCTCAAAACCATCTTTCTTTCCATTAGACATCTTACATTTTTCTTCCCTTTCTTATAATATTCTCATTGTTGTTCCACCTTTATTAACATTTGCTCAGTTATCATTGATATGGGGTTCTTGTTTCATTTCTTTAGTTTATCCCTAGATAGTCACTATTTTATTCATTTATTTTTTTATTTTTAAATCTCATATATTACTGTTCCCCTGTCCTACTTCATTTGCCTTCTTCTTGCCCTTATTTTCATTTTAATTTTCACCTTCTCCATTTCTTAGTCTTGTTTCTAACCTTTACACTTATGATTTCTTCTCCCTCTATCCTATCAAAATTAGTTTACTTTAGATATCTCACAATATTTTATTTTCTCTTCTTTCCTTTCTTTTTCTTATAACATTATCTCCCTTTCATATTTACCAATCTTTGTTCCTTTGTTGTGGATATCACTGAGGTGGTGGTTTTATTGCAATGTGATTCCTATTTTTTCACTCCAAATCTCATATCATACTATTGCCTTGTCTTACTCCAGTTTGCCATATTCCATCTCTATTTTAGTTATGTGGGAAATTTTATTTTCTCTTTTTTTAGCACCACGCTCTAACCAACTGAGCTAACCTATTTTCTCTCTTTTTTTTTTGCCTTGTTTCTATTCCTTACTCTTATAATTTCTCATCCCCCTACCCTCTCAAAATCATGTTTATTCCCATTAACTCATATTGGTTTTTTTCTTCTGTATAATATTCTCATTCTCTTTTAACTTTGTAAGTCTTAGCTCATTTGTTGTTGATTTCATGAAGTTGGAGGGTATTTTTGCTGGTGTGAATTTTGTTTGCAGGGTCGTCTTGTTTTCTTCTGGCAGCTCCTGTACAACAGCATACAAGACATGGTGGAGGTTGTGATCTCAATCAGCGAGCTGGGGAAAAAACACACCAAGGAATGAGCCCAAAACAACAAAAACCCAGTTACTACCAGAGAACTAACAAAAACTGAATGAAGGGCATTCCTAGAGTATCCAGCTCAGGAGTTCAGTAAACTTCACCATTGAGTCCCACAGGACTCCCACCACAGAAGACCACCCAATGAGATAGGCAGTCATAGCAGATCAATCTAATATGGAGAAACAAAAAGAGCCACTTAAAATGGGGATACAAAGAAACAACCCCCAATCAGCAGGAATGGAGGAATCCCCAGAAACTGTGAAAAATGAAATTCAGGAAAGCAATTTATCAGATATAGAGTTGAAACCAGTGGTTCTAAGGATATTAAAGTAACTCAGTGGGAATGACAAGGAACTTAAAGAGAACTATATCAGCATTAAAAAGGACATAGAAACTATGAATAAGAACCAGACAGAAATAAAGAATACAATATCTGAAATGTAGAATATACTGAAGGAATTACAGCAGGATAGATGAAGCACAGGATCAAATCAGTAAGTTGGAAGACAAGGTAGAAGAAAACACCTAGTCAGTGCAACAAAACAAAAAAGAGTGAAAAAAAACCAAAGATAGTTTAAGGGAGCTGCAGGACATGTGAAATGTAATAATATTTGCATATTTGGAATATTGCAGAAGAAAAAGAAAAGGAGCAAGAGGTAGAAAACCTGTTTGGAAAAAATAAGGACAGAAAACTTCCCTAACTTGTTGAGGGAAAAGGTCATGCAGGTTTAGGAAGCACAGATCAGAATTAAGATAAACCCAAAGAAGCCAACTCCAAGACACATCAGAATTAAAATGGCAAAATTTAAAGGTTCTGTTGAGAATCTTAAAGGCAGCAAGGGAGAAGTAGCTAGTAACATACAAAGGAGTTCCAATAAGGCTATCAGCTGATTTCTCAAGAGAACAACTACAAGCCAGAAGAGAATGGCGCAAAAAATTCCTCCAAGTAATGAAAAGCAAACCTACAACAAAGACTATTCTACCCAGCAAGGCTCTCATTTAAAATGGAAGGTGAAATAAGAAGCTTCCTCCCAATTGTTTTTAAAAGGCTAAGAGAGTACATCTCCACCAAACCAGCAATGCAAAAGATGCTAAAGGGACTGCTTTAAGAAGATAAAGGGCCCTGGCTGGTGTAGCTCAGTGGATTGAGCTTGGGCCTGCAAACCACACAATCACGGTTCGATTCCCAGTCAGGACACGTGCCTGGGTTGCAGGCCAGTTCCCAGCAGGGGACTCACGAGAGGCAACCATACATTGATATTTCTCTCCTTCTCTTCTTCCCTTCCCTTCTAAAGATAAAAAAATAAAATTTTTAACAAAGGAGATGAAGGAAGAGAAAGAAAATGAAATACAAACACAAAGGGGAAAATGGCAATGAATAACTACCTATCATTAATAACCTCAAAATTAAATGGATTAAATACTCCAACCAAAAGATATAGGGTAGCTGAATAAAAAAAAAACATGACCTACATATATGTTGTCTACAAGAGACCTACCTCTGAACAGAAGATTTACACAGGCTTAATGTGAAGGAATGGAAATAAAAATATTCCAAGGAAATCACATGAAAAAAATCTGGTATACCAATACTTATATCAGAAAAATTGACTTTTAAAAAAGGCTATAACAAGAGACAAAGAAGGTCACTACAACTCCTTAAGAGAGTTGTACAACAAGAGGATATAACCCTGGTAAACATATGCACACACCATAGAAGCACCTACATACATAAAGAAAATCTTAGAGGACTTTAGGATGCAGATTGACAACCATACAGTCATCTTAGGGGATTGTAACACCTCATTGTCTACAATGGACAAATCTTCTAAACAAAAAAACTAACAAGGATACTGGGGGCATTAAAAGACACTCTAGACCAAATGGACCAAATTGATCTTTATAGAGCATTCACCCCAAAGAAGCAAATTATACAATCTTTTCAAATGCACATGGATCATTTTCAAAGAAGGACCACATGGTAAGACAAAAAAGCAAGCCTCAACAAATTCAAGGAAATTGAAATTATATCAAACATCTTCTCAGATCATAATACCTTCAAACTGAAAACCAACCTCAAGGAAGACACTGAAAAACATTCAAATACATGGAAACTGATAAACATGTTATTAAAATAATGAATGGGTTAAAATGAAATTGAAGAAGAAATCAAAAAGTACCTGAAAACAAATGTAAATAAACACAAAACAACCCAAAACCTATGGGATACAGTGAAGGCAGTCCTGAGAGGGAAAGTCATAGCAATACAGGCCTACATAAAGAAGGCAGAAAAATCTCAAATAAACAACCTAACCCTACATCCACAAAAACTAGAGGAATGACAACAAAGCCCAGAGTGAGTAGAAGGGAGGAAACAATCAAGATCAGAGCAGAATTAAATGACATAGAGACTAAAAATACAGTTCAAAAGATAAATAAATCCAGGAGCTGTTCCTTTGAAAAGATAAACAAAATTGACAAACCTTTAACCACATTCATCAAGAAATAGAGAGAGGACCCAAATAAATAAAATCAAAATGAAGAAGGAGAAATAACTCCAATACCACAGAAATACAAAGGATCGTGAGAAATTACTATGAACAACTATATGCCAAGATTTGGACAACCTGGGCAAAATGGATAAATTTCTAAGAACATATAATCTTTCAAAACTGAATTAAGAAGAAGCAGAAAGCCTGAACAGACCAATAAAAAACTAGGAAAAATGAAGCAGTAAAAAAAAAAACAAAACTCTTTGCAAAAATAAGACCCAGACAGAATGGCTTCACAGGAAAATTTTACCAAACATTCAAAGAACAACTAACTCCTATTCTCTCAAACTACTTCAGAAAATTCAAGATTAGGGAAGACTCCCAAACTCTTTTTACTTTGTTATCCTAGGCCAATGTTATCCTAATTCCAAAACCAGATAAAGACAAAACAAGTAAAAAAAGTACAGGCCAACATCTCTGATGCACATAGATGTTAAAATCTTCAACAAATATTGGCAATTTGAGTCCAGCAATATACTAAAAAGATCATATGCCATAATCAAGTGGGATTTATTCCGAGGATTCAAGGACAGTTAAACATTCTCAAATCAAGAAAAGTAATATACCACATAAACAGAATGAAAGACAAAAACACATGTTCATATCAATAGATGCTAAAAAAGCAATTGATAAAATCCAGCACCCTTTTATGATAAAACCACTCACCAAAGTGGGAATAGAGAGAGCCTATCACAACACAATGAAGGCCATTTATGAGAAACCTACCGCCAACATCATACTCAATGGGCAAAAAATTAAAGCTTTCCCCCTAAGATTAGCTATAAGAGGAGTATGTCTGCTATCACCATTTTTATTCAACATATTATTGGAAGCTCTAGCCACAGTGATCAGACAAGAAAAATAAATAAAAGGTATCCACATTGGAAAGGAGGAAGTAAAGCTGTCACTGTTTACAGATGGCATGATAGTGTACATAGAAAACCCTGTAGTCTCCACCAAAAACTACTCAAACTAATAAGTGAATTTGGCAAAACAGTAAGATAGAAACTCAATATTCAAAAAATGATGACAATTTTGTATACCAACAATTAACTATCAGAAATAGAAACTAGGAAAAAATCTCATTTATTATAGCAACAACAAAAATAAAGCACCTAGGAATAAATTTAACCAAGGAAGTAAAAGACCTGTACTCAGAAAACTATAGAACACTGAAGAAAGAAATTGAGGAAGATACAACTAAATGGAAGCATATACACCCTTCTTGGATTAGGAGAATCAAGATTGTTGAAATGTCCATACTACCCAAAGCAATGTATAGATTTAATGCAATCCCTATTAAAATACCAATGACATATCTCACTGATCTAGAACAAATACTCCAAAAATTTCTATGGAACCAAAAATGACACAAAAGAGCCATGGCAATCTTGAGAAAGAGGAATAAAGTTGGAGGGATCACAATAGCTAATTTAAAACTATACTACAAGGCTACTGTATTCAAAACAACCCCTGTACTGGCATAAGAATAGACATATAGATTAATGGAACAAAATAGAGAGCCCAGAAATAGGCCCATGACTCTATGGCTAATTAATATTTGACAAAGGGGGCATAAGTATACAATGGAATAAAAATAGTCTCTTGAACAAATGGTGTTGGGGGAAATAGACTGGTCCATGCAAAAACATGAAACTAGACCACCAACTTATACTATACACCAGAATAAAATCAAAATGGTAAAACACTTAAATATAAATTATTATGCCATAAAAGTTCTGGTGAAAAACATAGGCAGTAAAATTTCAGATGTCCCATGTAACAATATTTTTGCTGATATTATCTCCTAGGGCAAGGGAAATAAAGGACAAAATAAACAAATGGGACTACACCAAATTAAAAGGCTGCATGGCTAAAGAAACCATCATCAAAGTTAAAAGGTAACCAACCATATGGGATAACATATTTGCCAATGATACATTGAACAAGGGTTTGCTCTCCAAAAAAAGATAAAGAATTCACATGACACAACACCAGGAAGACAAAAAATCCAATTTAAAAATGGGCAAAGGACCTGAATAGACACTTCTCCAAGGTGGACATACACAGGGCCCATAGACACATTAAAAGATGCTCAACATTACTAGCCATCAGAGAAATGCAAATTAAAACCACAATGAGATATGATCTCATCCCTGTCAGAATGGCTTTTATTAATAAATTAACAAACAAGTGCTGGCCAGGATGTGGAGAAAGAGGAACCCTAGCATACTGTTGGTGGAAACACAGACTGGTATAGTCGTTGTGAGACCTGCTTTAAAAATTTAAAATGGAATCTCCTTTAAAAGATAAAAAATGGAACTGCCTTTTGACTCAGTGATTCCACTGCTGGGTATATACCCTAAGAATCCCAAAACACCAATTCTAAAGAACTTATGCACCCCTACCTACATTCATAGCTG